AAAGGAAAAGTTTGTAAATAATGGAAACTAGCGGTAAATGGCATGTACGTCATGGTCTAAGCACACAGATTTGCAGAATAAACCATTTTCTTGTTGCCCAATCAAACACAAATCGCGCAAATCAACGGCTGTAATTAGCATATAAACCTTCTACAAAATAAGTGAGCCATCTCCCTATTCTACTGTCTTGTTTCTTTACTCCTCTCTCACTAAACCTCCGACTGTTGTTTACATCTAGATCTGAAGCAAATCTCTCTGCTAAATGGCAACTATTACGTCCGTCAAGGCCCGTCAGATCTTCGACAGCCGTGGCAATCCTACGGTTGAGGTTTGTTTTCATCCATCTCCTCTTTCTCACTCGTCATTCAATTCCCATTTTTTTTTTTTTGTTAATATTAATTATTGCCCTCAATCTTACTTATTGAACAATCTTAGATTTGCTTTGCCTGTATCTTGATTATGTTCAGTATTTAGATTTTTATAAAAATGATTACTACACTTCTAATCTGGCTTAATCGTGTTGAGATAGTGAGCAAAAATGGAGACGAGATTTAAGTAGTTTTTTTCTGCAATGTTTGATTGGTTGATTTAAGTGTAGGTTGACGTACATCTATCGAATAAGCTCTGGGCCAGAGCTGCCGTCCCTAGTGGTGCATCCACTGGTAAGATCTATTCGCTTTTTTGTTTTTTCTTTCTTCTGTCCTTTTGTGGTATTGATTTGTTAATACGATTGTAGGTATATTGATATTGATATAGATGATAGATTGATTTATATTATATTGATTGATTACCTCGGTTCTTAGCCAAACACTTCGTTATTGATTAAGCTTTTAAAATCTGATGAAGACTCTTGCTTTTTCATTTTCCTTTAACTGAAAAATATACAGTTTTAGGATTTTTAGTTTTGTGATATCCCAAATGGTCCCATGTTTATCTTGAATATATGTACGGGACTAATTTACTTTTTTTAATTTAGGAGTTTATGAAGCTCTTGAATTGAGAGATGGAGGGTCAGACTACCTTGGCAAGGGTGTCTCAAAGGTAAGAGTTTGTAATGGCTAGTAAGTCATTTATTGACAAGCAAATCCGATTATTATTTGCTGATGTTTGCATGTCGATATGTATATAGGCCGTTAGCAATATCTGACTACCTTGGCAAGGGTGTCTCAATGGTAAGAGTTTGTAATGGCTAGTAAGTCATTTATTGACAAGCAATTCCTATTATTATTTGCTGATGTTTGCATGTGGTTATGTATATAGGCCGTTAGCAATGTAAACACCATCATTGGCCCTGCACTCATTGGAAAGGTTTGCTTTCTTCAGCTTTAGCATGGTTCTTATTGCCTTAAATTTTGTTTTCTTGACAATTTAGGCCTATGTTATATAACAAACGAAAAATTGTTTTCTTCAATAATTATTATTCCATCAATTTCCCCAACTGAAAATGAAGTGTGGCTGCTTAAACAGGACCCAACAGATCAGACTGGTATAGATAACTTTATGGTTCAACACCTTGATGGAACTCAGAATGAGTGGGGGTGGTGCAAACAGAAGGTACTTTATTGTTTTAATTGATAATCTCTGCATCTCTTTGTTATATTTGTATGCTTTGTAAATATTTTGGCCTTTTCAGCTTGGTGCAAATGCCATTCTGGCTGTCTCTCTTGCCATATGCAAAGCTGGAGCTGCCGTTCTTAATATTCCCCTCTACAAGGTATGTTGCATTTCATTTTACTTCATCCAACCATTTTTCCCCTAATAAGGGAATTTATCAGTTGGAGCATCCGTACCTATCAATAGCTGTCAGGAAACTTAAAATACAGCTCTACTTGGTGTCCACTACTTTGCACCTGATCCCCTGAATTGGTCAAACAGTGTAAAACCTGCACGAGAGTTTCTTAGATTTGCTATGGTCATCTACATTGTTTTTTTCATACTTATTATGGTAGTGGATCGATCTTATGATATTTATATGTAAATTTCTTGATACAGCACATTGCCAACCTTGCTGGTAACAAGAAGCTGGTGTTACCTGTTCCTGCCTTCAACGTTATCAATGGTGGATCACATGCTGGAAACAAACTTGCTATGCAGGTATATCTTTTACATATTTACATGGGTTAGCTTATATTTCTTATAATGTGGGTTTCTCATCAATTTGTATTGCAGGAATTTATGATTCTTCCAGTTGGAGCTTCCTCTTTTAAGGAGGCCATGAAGATGGGTGTTGAAGTATATCACCATTTGAAGGTGTGTGATAATGTTTCAGTTCTCTCTTCCTTCATTTACCTGTTTATTTATCACAATTTCTATTCAATGCCTATAACTATTCTGAATTTAATGTAATAGAGGCTATAGCCTGCATATATCTATGATCAAAATGCATAGTTAGGGAATATTCTATAGTTTGAGGATATAAACAAGTCTACAATTGCTTTGTTGCCTTTTTATACCTCCATTTCAATGAAGTTATATGAGTTTCTACTTCCTTTAAGTTATCTGGTATGCTGCTAGTGCTAAAAGGGTTTTATCTAGGGAGGACACTGATTTGAGGATATAAGAAAATTCTACAATAGTTTCTTGTTTTGCATTTTTATACCTCCGTACGACATAGAATTTCAACGTTCCTAGATTATTAGGTCCGAGGCCGGTGCTGAATTGAGTTTTACATCCATTGTATTTCAGTATCAATATAAATGCGAATTGAATCTTGCTAGGCCTATTGCTTATCTTGGAATAGATGTTCCCAATTTGCACTTCTGTATTATGTCTATAAGCTTAGGGTCAAAGAGTTTCTCTTGCATCTGTGATGTCTAACGTTCCCAAATTGCACTTTTCTATTATGACTATAAGCTTAGGGTGAAAGAGTTTTATCTCGCATCTCTGATGTCTAAATTTTAGAATTTGGTTTTCTTTGATTTCAGGCTGTCCCAAATTGCAGTTTCTATCTGTCTATAAGTTTAGTGTCAATGAGTTTACGTCGCATCCATGAGGTCTTGACTTTTAGGAATTGGTTTTCTTTGATTTCAGGCTGTCATTAAAAAGAAATATGGCCAAGATGCCACCAATGTAGGGGATGAGGGTGGCTTTGCTCCTAACATTCAGGTTGAACAGTGTATTATGTTGAATAAACTTTTTCCTTGAGGTTCTTATATGATATTCAAATTGTATTATCTTTTATTGACTGCAGGAGAACAAGGAGGGTCTTGAGCTGCTCAAGACAGCCATTGAAAAAGCAGGTTACACCGGAAAAGTGAGTCTTTTAAACTTTCTTGGCTTCATTCTTTGATCAGCTAGAGGATGGGGGTTGGAGCTTAAATTTCGTTATATACAGGTTGTCATCGGAATGGACGTTGCTGCATCTGAGTTTTATGGATCGGACAAGACTTATGACTTGAACTTCAAAGAAGAGGCAAGTTCTTACTCTTTGTAACTTGCTTAGCTCCATTTGACAGCATTCTTGAATAATGTCTTATGCAAGGAGAGGATATCAAGAAAGCACGTAGGGGTTGTCTGCCTGTGGGTTGTGTCTGTGTGCATAATAGTTGGTTCATAACTACCGAGATTGTATTCGACATTTCAGTTTTATTGCTTTTGCCTTTGCAGAACAATAATGGCTCACAAAAGATCTCAGGTGACCAGCTCAAAGATCTGTACAAATCATTCGTGTCTGAGTACCCAATTGTATCTATTGAAGATCCATTTGACCAAGATGACTGGGTGCATTACTCCAAGATTACTGGTGAAATTGGAGCTCAAGTACAGATTGTGGGAGATGACCTCTTGGTCACCAATCCCAAGGTGATGGATCCTATTACTTGAAATTATTCAGAAAACATACCTTCTGTGGCTAATACAATTTAGCATATTTTACTGTGCACAGTAGCTCTAAAAGATTTGTACTACTGCTTATTTTGCAGAGAGTCGAAAAGGCAATCAAGGAGAAGTCTTGCAATGCTCTTCTTCTTAAGGTATCATCTAATATCTGTATGCATCTTAAGTGCTTAAATGGTCTCTCTTAACTTGTTTGAGAATGTAACCACAACATGCTCTCTTTTTCTTTTAACAGGTTAACCAAATTGGATCGGTTACCGAGAGTATTGAAGCTGTAAAAATGTCTAAACAGGCTGGTTGGGGTGTAATGGCAAGCCACCGCAGGTATGAAAATTACACCTTGTTATATGGTAGGTATCTAAGTTGCACAGGTGAAGAGGATATTAGATTGACAATTATTTTTGTTGCTGGATGCAGTGGAGAGACAGAGGACACTTTCATTGCCGATCTGTCCGTGGGTTTGGCCACGGTAATGTTCTGTCTGATTCTAAAAATTATTTCTGCTGTGTTCCTTCATAATCTCTATTACTGATTTCCTTTCTGCGAAATATTTGTCAGGGCCAAATTAAGACTGGAGCTCCATGCCGGTCAGAACGTCTTGCGAAGTACAACCAGGTAACTTTTCCATGTTTTCAAATGCATTAATGGCATGTTAGGATGTCAGACTAGTTTGCACCAGAGAGGATGATATATTAAAAAGAAATTAAACACTGTACAACTACAGTGCTGACTAATACTGTGCAAGGAACATACCCTGATGTTTCCTTTTATTACAACAATCAAGCGGACATTTCCCCAATCAAATTATGATTATCTGTGGCCATCCCCCTCATTGTTTCCTTCAACTAAACTATGAAGTATTAAGCACGATATTATCTAGGCCTCTGATGGTCCTTTGTTGCCTACAGCTGTTGCGAATTGAAGAGGAACTTGGATCTGAAGCTGTATATGCTGGAGCTAACTTCCGTGTACCTGTCGAGCCCTATTAGATGAGAATGAGTCGTGAGCTGAAGATGCATGTTTGGAAGATGGATTCTCACTTTTTGCCGAATAAATCTCGATGTAGGGTGATCGTAGGATACACCGGCGTGTTTTTAATAATAAAAAATAGTTTTGTGCTGAACTGAGAAACAGTTCAAAAGACTAATTACGTCATCTTGTCATTTTTGACTTGTTTTGTGACTCGGAAATGCAGTTTTAAACTTATGAATCTATCTGGTTATTTTCGGACTTATTTTTGTTGGCATAAATGTTTGGTAGCTGCTATCTGACCCTTATGATCACACTGAGTCATCGTGATCATTGCATGGTGTTGATGTTTGCAAAATGAATCAAGACCTTTCATATGGTGTTAAGCAGATATTTTGATTACCTGTCTGTGAACTATGTGAGCTACTGGTCATGGGCGAATCTCCTCCCTCAAAAATAACATTTAATGTGTACTTTATTATAATGATGATTCTGACACGAATTCATATACCCTTGTAAATTTGTAGTTCGAAAGGCAGCGCGAAGTGAGCGATAAGAAATCATGTACCCTTGTAAAATTTTGTAGTGTCCAAGATAATTTGTTCAGTATATTTTGATTACTTAAACATATGTTTTCAGTCAAGCAAGCAAATGGGAGAAGAGATTATCATCACCACCGTGATAGAGGTAGGACGCCTTGAAGCAGAAGTCCTGGTCGAATAGGTGGACGAAGCAGAAGCCCAGGAGAAAGGAGAGATACGAGTCTTGTTAAGGTTAGGGAAGGCAAAATTGAGCAATTGAACAAGGAAAAAGAACGAGTGGAATCTGATCATCTGATGCAGGTAATGCTAGCAACTTCAATGATAAGGGTAGTGGCTTCGAACGTAATGAAGACCAGTTTAATATCAATAATCTTCAGCCACTGGGGTGAGGGAATGGGATATATGACTACTGATGCAAGTGCCTTCGTTGATTTCACGGTTTGTCTTCTATTCTTAGTTGATTCAAGGTTACCGCATCAAGTTGCTTATTTTCGATCAAGTTCTCTTTTGTTAAATTTGATCCTGTCTCATTCAGAAAAAGGCCCACTGCCTGTTTTTCACCGTGCAGGCAGAGGGGGAAAGGTTTTTTAGATTTGACTTTGTTTAGATTCAGTATTTTTCATGCTTTTTGACTAAGGAAATTGCCTCTTTCTAAATGGCTATCCACTATATTGTAACTAGTAACTTCATCTGGAATTTCTAGTAGTTCATCTTCACGTTTTACCTGTGTGTTTTACCGGGTGAACTGTTGGTATGTACTATAAGTATACTAGAAAGTGTTCACATTTCATTGTCTTCCATTTGGTAAGCCAGCCAGTCTCTTACTCATTGCGAACTCAATAACAATGTATAAACAAAATCGAGTAGCTTAACAATGGTAACTTGTTTCCTCTCGTGAAGTCGCTAAATTTTTTGCAAGTGTAGATTATATACTATAGGGAGCTCATTCTATATTCTCTTGTCGTCGTTTTGTGTGCTTAATCATTTGCTCATGCAAGTTTGTTTTATAGCAAAAACTTACTAACAGGCTAGCAGCAGTGTTAATTTGGGCCACCCGGTTCATACAAGGGAAAAATTCACTTTCCCTACTTTATCTTTACTCTATTTCAAAAATAACAAAACAACTTTTACATTTCAAAAATCAGATTTCTTGACCTATATATACACACATTTATAAATATTTATGGAGCTAACTTCCGTGTACCTGTCAAGCCCTATTAGATCAGAATGAGTCGTGAGCTGAAGATGCATGTTTGGAAGATGGATTCTCACTTTTTGCCGAATAAATCTCGATGTAGGGTGATCGTAGGATACACCGGCGAGTTTTTAATAATCAAAAATAGTTTTGTGCTGAACTGAGAAACAGTTCAAAAGACTGATTATGTATCTTCTCATTTTTGACTTGTTTTGTGACTCGGAAATGCTGTTTTAAACTTATGAATCTATCTGGTTATTTTCGAACTTATTTTTGTTGGCATATATGTTTGGTAGCTGCCATCTGACCCTTATGATCACACGAGTCAATCGTGTCATATGGTGTTAAGCAGATATTTTGATTGCCTGTCTGTGAACTATATGAGCTATTGGTCATTGGCGAATCTCCCTCAAAAATAACATTTAATTTGTACTTTATTATATGATTCTGACACAAGAATTCATATACCCTTGTAAATTTTGTAGTTCGAAAGGCAGGGCGAAGTGAACGATAAGAATTCGTATAGCCTCGTAAAATTTTGTAGTGTCCAACATAATTTGTTCAGTATATTTCAATTATTTCAACATATGTTGAGTCAAGCAAGCAAATGGGAGGAGATTATCATCACCACCGTGATAGAGGTAGGACGCCTTGAAGCAGAAGTCCTGGTCGAAGACGTGGACGAAGCAGGAGCCCAGGAGAGAGGAGAAATAGGAGTCTCGTTAAGGTTAGAGAAGTAAAAAATTGAGCAATTGAACAAGGAAAAAGAACGAGTGGAATCTGATGCGGGTAATGCCCAGGGGTGGACACGGTTGGGTTGGGTCGATTTTTGCCTCAACCCAAACTCAATGCAACATGATCGGTTTGATCAAAATTTAACCCAACTCAAACCCAACTCAACATGATCAGTTTGATCAAAATTTAACCCAATCCAATCAGTGTAAAAGTTGAAACCCAATCCAATTCAACCCAATCAAGTATCGGTCGAGTTGGGTTGGGTTTGGTTGGGTTGGGACGACTTGTCAACAAAAAATAAAATCATTCAATTTTTTATTATACTAAATTCGAATAGACAAGATTAAATAGTAAGTAAATAAATAAAATTATATATTATCTTATTCAATTATCATTAGCCAAGCTTACAAAAAACAAAGTGAATTTAACATAACATGGAAAACTTATACTACATTTCTTGTGGGAAGAACAGTAAGCTCCTCCTCTAAGATACACTAACGTAATTACATTTACACTATCTATTCATACTTTTTAGATTTCTTTTACTTTTCTAGTCATTTTATTTCTTTTATTTTTTTAAGTGGTGGGTTGGGGGGGTGGGTTTATTCGGTTTTCATGAGTTAACCCATAACCCGACCCGTCAACACAGCCAACCCATCCAATCCGTGTAAAAACAACAAAAAAATCGACCCAACCCGGTCGGGTTCGATTGGGTTTTGCCCATCCCTAAATGCTAGCAACTTCAATGATAAGGGCAGTGGCTTCGAACATAATGAAGACCAGACTAATATCAATAATCCTCAGCCACTGGGGTGAGGCCCGAGAGGGAATGGGATATATGACTATGGATGCAAGTGCCTTTGTTGATTTCATGGTTTGTCTTCTATTCTTGGTTGATTCAAGTTTACCGCATCAAGTTGCTTATTTTCGATCAAGTTCTCTTTCGTTCAGAAAAGGCTCACTGCCTGTTTTCCAATTTGCAGGCGGGGAAAGGTTTTTTTTAGATTTGACTTTGTTCTTTAGATTCAGAATTTTTCATGCTTTTTGACTAGGAAATTGCCTCTTTCTAAATGGCTATCCACTATATTGTAACTAGTAACTTCATCTCGAATTTCTAGTAGTTCATCTTCACGTTTTTCCTGTGTGTTTTACCGGGTGAACTGTTGGTATGTACTATAAGTACACTAGAAAGTGTTCACATTTCATTGTCTTCCATTTGGTAAGCCAGTCTCTCACTCGTTGCGAACTCAATAACAATGTATAAACAAAATCGAGTAGCTTAACAATGGTAACTTGTTTCCTCTCGTGAAGTTGCTAAATTTTTTACAAGTATAGATTATGTACTATAGGGAGCTCATTCTATATTCTCTTGTCGTCGTTTTGTGTGCTTAATCATTTGCTCATGCAAGATTTTTTATAGCAAAAACTTACTAACAGGCTAGCAGCAGTGTTAATTTGGGCCACCCGGTTCATACAATCCAGAAACGGGCCTGATTAAAATTACTTGGACTGTTTAGGGCTTAAACTTTGAAAGATCCGACCCGGACATCGACCTAGTTGCTACTAGGTCTTGGGTTACTAGTCGAACTGGTAGGTTAGTGGTTAGACCAATGGGTCGGTGCTTAAAAATTCTAAAAGGTTTTTTAATGTATAAAATTCTCTGAGATAAAATTAAAAATTATTTGTTATTAATTATTTATATATTTTTAAATTATTTTGTTAAACATTCACTTCATTTTAATTAAAATTAGGACTATGATTTTTTTAAATAATATTTTTAACAAACTATAAATGATTTTATATATATAAAAACTATTGGGCTCTATTAGTTAGGTACTAACCTTACTTTAGGGTTCAAATCTTTTGAATACCAAAAATTTAAGAAAAAATATTTGAAATTTGGTCAAATTAGTCAACCGGGCCGGTTTAATGTAAAAAAATACCGATTAACTCGGTCAACTTGTGGGTCAACTCGATTAAACTCGAATTTTGATTGAGTAATTTGAATTTCTATCAAATTGTTCAACCTGGCTTGTGTCATCGGTTTCTCGAGCTGGATTTTATAACTATGGATAGAGCTTCTACTTCTTATATAAAAAAAAATTCATCTAAAAGCCTTTTTATCCATATCTAGTACTTTCAAAAAATTATTCAAATATGTTCAAAAACAGTTTCCTATAATCCTAAAAGTTTTGCAAAAAATAAGATAAAATTTTAATCAATTAAATATGTATAATTATATACAATATTAAAAATATATTTTTTAGTTTTTCATCTATATACATGACCAACCGTTAAAGGTTGATGGTGTTGTAAATAATATTTTTAGTAGCGAATGACATTATATCTCTATAACGGAAGAGTTCAAAAGTTAGGGATTAACTATGCACAATTCAAAAATCAGGTTTTAAGTTTGACTAATGCAAAAATCAGATTTTAGTTAATTAATTAAAAATATTTATTAATTAAATATAATAAAATCAANCAAAATTAGTTGGTCACATATCAAAATTTATATATCACACAGTTATAGATTTTCAAATTAATTATAGGGCACATGTCACATATTTTAAAATTAATTTATCACAGATTATTTCGAGATCACAGATTATTTTTGAGTCACATATTATTAAATTTTTAGATCACGATTGAATAATTGGTCATAGACCACTGGCACTATCACTTCCACCACCAACCACCGCCACTGCCACGCCACTAACCACCACCAACAATAACAACACACTACCACCTCCTCCTCCTCACCAACAAAATCACCATTTTCAGCACAAAATCACATACATAGTCGCCGCCGCCACACAAAACACCATACCACTCCTACCTCCAAATCCACTTGCATCAGTCGGCATAAGGTTGAGCAACGCAACGCTGCTGTTGTGAAGCTGCCGTTCATGACAGCGTCGCACAATTCATAGAGAGAGAGAGAGGATAGAGAGAGCACAGGAGAAGACGAGAGGTGAGAGAGATGTGAGGGGAAGACGACGAAGGAAAAAGTGCGGCGATGCAGTGGATTTGCTTCGCGGTGGCGCGGTGGATCTGCTTCTATGTCATCTCCTCTTCATTGCAGTAGCACAGAGGTGCTATGTCTCCGGACCGACGACGAAGAAAGGGGAGGGGAGATTTATAGAGAGAGGGAAGGGGAGGAGCGAGAGAGAGGAGAGGTGAGGGAGTTGAGAGTGATATATTAGGGTTAGAGTATAAATATATTACCGATTTTTGAATAAATAAACTTTGGACTTGATTTTTAAAAATCTATCTTTAAACCCCTGATTTTTTATAATTTCCCTCTCTATAACCCTAATTGTTATCATTGTATCCCAATTTCAGCCCGATTTGGTCGTCTATTTTTGAAATAATATTATTTTGAATAGTGAATTTTTGGATAATGTAATGATTAAAAGGTAGGAAAAAATTTTTAGGTTTACGTGTATAATGTTTTATTGTATGAATATGTGATTGAAAATGAGTATATAATTTATTTATTTTTTTTGAAAGAATGAATAAAAAATGGGGCTCAATAATTCGCTTCTTCAGCTTCTTCATGAATTTTGTCATTTTAGCCCTTGTTTTTTTTTTTCAAAAATCAAATTTTTAGTAATTTTTGATAAAATTTAAGAAATATGTAATTGAAAAATTGATAAAAATTGCGAATTCAATTATGTGGTTAAAATTAATTACTTATTTTATATTAGATTTTTATTAACTTTTTCTAGTGAAATCAGACAGGGACTTGAACGGAAAGCCGGTTCGCAGTTGAAGTTGAACCGAAAAGCAAAAATAAAACATTGAAACCAAACACACCCTAAATAATGAGTTAACTCTTCCCCGCTGGACGCTGGCTCTGTAGTTGGGCAGACTGGAAGACTCACTGACTCCAATACTGCATCCATCCAGAGTTCATCAATGGATCTCGATTCACTTATCAATTCTCTCCTTCCATCATGGACATCGGTCAGTCCGCCCCTCTTTCTCTCTCTATATATATGTTTGTATGTATATCGGTGTGTGTGCAAGAGTACTTGTGTAGTTGTAACGACTAGTTTTTCCTGTTTCTCCGCTGAAAATGGAAAAAAATCTGGAATAGGTTGCTATGCTGCTATCATTCTTTACTTACTTGGGAACAGTTGGATCTATTTTACCGGGGAGAATTATTCCTGGGGTGACTTTATCAGATGGCACTCGACTCCATTACCGTTGCAATGGTCATATTCTCTCTCTGATTCTACATTTGTCTTATAAGTTAATTTCGATTGTTATTTCTGCTAGTAGGATTATTAATTAAGGATTTCTTTATGATTTTTTTTATTTTTTTAGGTATGTTATTGCTTCTGTTGTTTGTTTTGTTACTTGGAGCTGGTGCTTGGTTAGATCTTGTGTCACCATCGGTAAGTCTTCACAATCGTCCTTTTGAATATCTATAGGTATTTTGAAACAGAGCCTGACTGCTGGTTGAAAATTCCCATTCTTAATTTTTATAAATGAAACTGTCAAAATTCAACATTTATATGACCATTGCAACGGTAATGGAGTCTTAATTTAAAAATACATATTCTTAAACTTTATAATTATTTTTGTACATTCGGGTTTTTACTTGGAAATCTATGCAAGTCAGACCTCTACTTCAGAATTCATCTGGGATATAGGAACCATTTAGTCTGCGGTTAAAAACTGATAACCAATTTACAGTAGTAAAATCCCTTTAATGCCTTTGCTGTGTCAATCTCATTATAAGATATTAGAACACAGATTCAAAACATTGTTTCTTTCAATTTTATAATTGACTAGGCTTTGCCAGATAATGTGCCTTTGTTGATTGAAAAGGAACTAAAACCTGTACATACCGAAAATGTGCAACCTGAAACGAAATAAAAAGTTTGACGGAAAGTAATTAAGCCCTTGTTTGATCCTCATTTTTTTTTCAAAATACATTTCTCTCTCTCTTCTTTTCAACTTCTCATTTTTCAATAAAATAATATTACATGCAACTCAAAAACTTTTCATTCATTTCTAACCACACATTCTCCATCAATCAATTATTCTAAAATGTATTCTACACCAAAAATGGGGCTCAAACAAGCCCTAAATTATCTTAAGAGAATATACTCTCCCCACCCACCTTCCAACTCGAGCATAAAATTGGTTTAGTAGTGATCTCTCAGCCTCTCTGACTTGACAATAAACAACAACCGTGGGAATAGTACTCTTCAATAATAAATCCGAACATACAAAAAAGTTGAGCACAATTGTCAAAGGCTCATAAAGCTACACCTCTGTTGAATGCAACAATTGAAATATCCAATCTACGATATGCACTCCTAATGTTTTGGTTCTGTATAGATGCAATAACATCATGACTATTTTGTAGGCAATTGCAGATAGAGGGCTTGAGCTTTTGTCAACGACATTTATATTCAGCGTGTTTGTAAGTTTTAGTCTTTACTGCATGTATACTTTATTTGTGGGATTGCTAATAGTAACAGTAGTATGGTATTGATCTGAATTGACAATCATATTTTGTAAGTTGGTTAAGGTCGTGGCCATTAAGGAAAAAAACTGATGGAGTTTGAGATGCTACAGCTAGCAAATTGATTGAACTAGTGTCAATAGTGAACTTGAAGAAAGAGGTTGACTTTATATCACATTGGTGAGGTACTTAAAAGAACTTGTGTATCTGTGGTTTAACTATGGAGATGGCCCTTGCTAGGGAATAGGAGAAGACATACCACGTAGTAAAAATTTAATGAGTACTGGACAAGGTTTAACCAAGTCAAATCAAGTTTTTAACATTGGATGATAGGTAATAAGTGGTTTATTTAAAATGTCAGTATCTAATAACTATGTTATTTGCTCTCAAATTTCTCGTTTTCCTTCTAAAAGTAAAAGCGAAGTTTGTTGTAGAGAATGAATAGTGGAACTTTGTAGCTATGGCTCCTATCATCATTGATGACATGAACTTTGTGTTGATACTATCCTATTGAAATTTCCATGGTGCTTTAAAGTAATGCAAGTATCTATAATTTCATTTCCGTAAGTGCTCTGATTAATTTCTATGATCTCCAACTGTTTAGTAGTTGTATTTTCTTATCTTTCGATTTTTTTTATTTTTTTCTCTCTCTTTTTTAAATTTATTTAATGCATACATACCAGGTGACTTTGGTACTCTATGTGACTGGTTGTCAATCCCGCAATCAAAGTTCTTCTTTGAAGCCCCATGTTACAGGAAACTTGATCCATGACTGGTAAGTCAATCCTCTCCTTTGATATGCAGACTTCTACTTAAGGTTTCTACTAACATTTAAGCTAGATATTGTTGTAATTCGAGTTTTTACAGTTCAGCTGCTGCCATTCTATGATGGTAGCTGGCTTCTTGATAGACAACATATGTATTCAAATGGTCAAACCATATAAGAAATAATGACAGTAAATTCTTTAACATTGGAAGGGATTATAGAACTCCAAATGAAATAGTTAAATATAACTGAGTTACAGAATATTTGCATGAGTGATTGCTGTTTTTTGGAATGAATTGATATTGTGCTTATTATACTCGTTGAGATTATAATGGGAAGAAATTGTCTTCCAAAGTCCAGATCATTTTTTCCTTCTAGGGCAATGTTTCTTATGGAGAAACCAAGTCCTATATTCCTCAATAGTCCATTATGATTGTAAATAGAGCATTGCCAAAAGTGCTACAATAAAATTTTTGTATTTTGAATGCATATAGAGGCTAAAGAAAGGGGTGTTAAAAAATTTCTAGCATAAAAGATATACCAAGAAATAAGTTGCAGAGACTTGGATGCAACAACTATTCTGATCCTCAGGAATTCGTAGATGGATCTCCAGTGAGCTACTTTAACTAGCTTCACATCTGGTGATTGATCGGATTTAACATTATGACTAAGAAAATAAAAGACATCCACAACACAATTGGAGCTCAAGTATGTTCTTTTTGTAAAGAGTTATTACATGATTAGGTGATAACCAGATGGAAACTAATTGTTGCCATGCATATGATGAGAGCAACAACCTAAACTGCAGACCCCACTGGACACTATTGATTTTACAGACAAGATTCTGAATTGTCGTGCCAGTGGATATGCATGGATTATGTCAGTAGTAAATGTTTCTGGGTTCTATATCCAACTTATCAAGTTACGTAGTCATTTTGTCAATGTCCACACTCTACATTAAATAATAAATATTTCCTTGGGGTTCATAGTTTGCATGCTTCCTAGGGCTTGCATAGCATCACACTCTAGTCAGTAGAAGTGTTGACATTATCATATTTTTACGTAGTTTGTTTGTCTTAGTAGGACAAGCTTGGCAACTTATTTCCAACTTGTCTAACTGAATGCATAGAGTTGCAGACGAGGTTTCAATGACAAATTCTGGACGATTTTAAATTTGCAATTTAAATTAGTTTTTTTAAGACAGGTGAAAAAAATCAGAGTACTAATATCATTCCAAGATCTGTTGATGTTTATTATTATTATTTTTTAATCTCAAGTTGCTTATTTTTTTTGTAACTTTTCAAGATTGCAAATTGATCGATAAACTGTTTTATTATTACTGCTGATTATGTCATTCTATAGGTGGTTCGGAATACAACTGAATCCTCAAATCATTGGCATAGACCTCAAGTATGTATCCATTTGTAAAAATTGGAGTGTCTTCTGTTATAACGGTCTGAGTCTCCTTTTTCATATGCATGGGCAATCAATGTTACTAAAAACCACATGGCACACAAAGTACATGACACCATTTGTGTTTACTTTTCTTGTCTAATTTGCAACACAAAATTTGAAAACCTCGTTAGGTATCAGATAATGACTGCATTTAACTTAGGTTGCAACACACTCCATTCCTTTGGAAGAAACAAATTATTACGGACCATTCCATTTTCCTTTTTATTCAAAAATATTTCCACTATTGCTGTCAGATCCCCACCTGGCCTATTTTCATTAGTTATTGGAATCAGTAATATAAATGCTAGCATTTTGTATTGTGTTGTAGATTCTTCTTTGTTAGAGCTGGAATGATGGGATGGCTTCTTATAAATCTTTCTGTTCTTGCAAAATGCATTCAAGAGGGCATCTTAAGCAAATCGATGATTTTTTACCAGCTCTTCTGTTTCGTAAGTGGTGATGTTCTAATTTTCACGTTTTAAGTACATTCATGTACTTGTTAAATTGCCTAATACTTGTATCTATTGGCAGCTCTATATTTTGGACTACTTTTTCCATGAAGAGTACATGACCTCCACGTAAGTGTATTTTATCCTTTCTTCCAACTATGTTGTCAGCTAATTTAGTTTATTCATCTTATGTAATTGTTGCGTCATATTACAAAGCTACTCTTCATTGGTTGCTACTATGAGGTCATATCGATTAACGATTTATAACCAATCTTTTTATCTGTGAAGAACTTTCTTGTCAATTTTCTCTAATATCTTCTTGTAGTACATTTACCTAGGAAGTGACAACTTACAGTGACTTCCTCCATCTTCCTTTTAGATGAACTCCTTTACTAGAAACAACACTATTTTCCATTATAGATATTGCATCTAACTGTATAAAGGCTGGCATATTTTGTGAATGGAACTATCTACAAAGATGTTGACTATCCATGCTGTCTAAATTATGTTGCATTGTAACTATATTTATTTTTTTGATAAACATTGCTTTTGTTAACCGTGCGTCCATATTTTCTGTTCAGCGATGCTAAAAGGAATCATCACTGTTCTCCTTTATGTTTTTGATTTGGTTTGAAAACTCTCCTAAGCCATACTTATGTGCAACTAATTGTGTTTCAAGACATTATTCTCTGTGTTAGAGTTCCCTTAGCGGGCCATCATGATTGTCCAATCAGTTGTTGAGGTCAATTTTCTAGGTTCTTATGGTTCAGAAATGCCATAGCGTATTCTTTGTGGGCCATTCTGGATGATATTAGAATCATGGCATGTTGCCTTCCTTCTTTAGCTGGGAATTAGCAAATTATTTCATGGCTTGTCCTTGATTGATTTACATGCTTCTTAAGCATCATATCTGTATTCCTAATTCTTACTAATGCTGATACTCATTTATCACGAAAAAATACTAGTACTATTTTCCCTCTTTGATTTTACTCATGCATTTGGTGTAATTTTTAAGATTTTAGTTAAATATATGATAGTGCAAGCTATATTAACCTTGATGCGTGCATATTCTTAGATGGGATATAATTGCTGAGAGATTGGGGTTCATGCTGGTGTTTGGAGATCTAGTTTGGATACCATTCACCTTCAGTATCCAGGTATATCGCCATACTATATTTAAGATACAGAAATGCTTATGTTGTTTCCTGGATGTCTGATGAATTTTGTAACACTGATCAGTTGTTTATGGAACAGTAATATCCAAAACTATGATCTCGTAAACCTTTGCTAAAATTTTGCCTTTGGCTTAATAGCTTTACAAAACAAGTTTTCTTCTTGGGATCACCAAGGAACACCAATATTGGAGAACAACAGTATATTCTAATTCACAGAATGCTACATTTGAATGTTTTTGGATTTTCTGTAAAAAAAAAATTCTAAAGGCGGGATTTTTTGTAATTTGCTCTGTAATGAAAGTAATAGTTTATGAGTTGGAAATCTAGTAGATGGAGTCTTTCCGTGATGCATAGCCCACTCAACTTCTAGTGGTTGGGTAAGAACAAATGCGATATAGGAACTAGTGTTCTACCAACTAAAGCAGTAGTTTACCTACCCCATTCGTTTTGCTATTCTTTTGATTGTCATTGAGCTTAGCAAGTTTAGCAGTTCATGCTAATGGGAGATATTATTGAAACATTTTTTCTTGTGCTATTATTAGGTTATTAATTCTTTTTTCTCTATTTGTTAAAGGGTTGGTGGCTTCTGAGTAATAGGGTGGACCTAACAATGGCTGCTGTCATTGCAAATTGTCTTGTATTTCTGATAGGGTAAATATTTTTTACTTCAAATGTTGCTGTAGTAGTTGTTTGTTCTATGCTATTTTCCTTTTCTTCATCGTGGAATATCCTCGTCCTCTTAATCTGTCTTGCTTACACTGCTCACTTTTTTTGTATTTGGAAAGCTATTGCGTATTTAGAGGAGCTAACAAGCAGAAACATGATTTCAAAAAGAATCCCAAAGCACTGATTTGGGGTAGTCCTCCGAAAGTAATTGGTGGAAAGTTGCTTGCTTCTGGTTATTGGTAAGTTTTTGCAAAGATATTTTTAGCCATCATTTTGTCTTTTTAATAAACTCAATCTCTGTAAATGACATTAATACAAGTTTTTATACTTTATATAAATGATAGAATTGATTATATCTAGAGAGTTTTCCAGTTCTAAAAAATTCATCGTGTCCTTGTATCTTAAGTGAACAGATACGAGCTTCTATATTTTCTAGAAATGACATTTCCTAGCACTCTTGGTTTGCTAGAAAATATATTTTTCTTTTATTTTGGAGAGGATGGTGAGGGTGTAGGAGCCGAGGCAAGGGAGGGATGGACAATTATAACTTTACTAACATGTTTGGTAAGATGAATTAGACAACACTCGACAAATATAAGCAACAAAAGGAAATAAAAACATATATACTGTATTCTAGTACGGTCCAATGCGACGTATCAAACATGAAACTACAGTAATTATGGCAACATTATGAACAATGACTTGAGTTGAATTAAAGTTGCTGCAGTCATCATCATGCACAGACTAGTAGCAATATATGTACAATCCAGTCAATGACTTCACAGAATCTCGTGTACTTTGCAGCCTCTTTTAATGAAGCATGGCTTTTCCATGTCAAATTGAAAGTTTTGGACCTATACAAGACACTGGTGATACTTTATCATTGTTTACACGTATAGTCATTTCTCTTTTCAGGGGCATTGCAAGGCACTGTAATTATCTTGGGGATTTGTTGGTGGCCCTGTCCTTTAGTTTACCTTGTGGATTAAGGTAATTTTCTGTGCCGTGCTTTTTGTTGTACTCTAATCATGGCCCTAAACACCTGTAATTTTTTTCTTATGATATGTATGCAGCTCCCCAGTTCCATATTTTTATCCTATATACCTTCTAATTCTGTTAATATGGAGAGAAAGACGGGATGAAGCTCGGTGTGCAGAAAAATACAAGGAAATATGGGCAGAGTATCGAAAACTAGTTCCTTGGAGGATACTTCCTTATGTTTATTAGCTACAGCTAAGGTTCTCCCCCTGTTTTTTGTATCGCTGTCTGAACATCATTGAGTTTTTTTTGAATGGGACGCACCTCCAATGATCTATGCTGTTGATAGAAGCGCAATCAGAAAAGCACAATATTGTTGTTGTACTATGACATAGATCTTATGAAATCAATGTGAATCGTGCAATTTCTTTTCAGAAGTATCCTCCGAAAACTTTTCTGGAATTTGAACATTAGCTGATTCTTGCATTTCCATTTTGATCCTATGGGTTTCCTAGAATTACGTGAGTTATCTTAACATCTTCGGAAGTAGGGCTGGACATGATTCAGTTATGTTATGTTCGGTTCCTTTTTAATCCTATGGGTTTCCGAGAATTACATGAATTTTCGGTTATTTAATAAGTGGAATCGTAGAGTCCAAATTTAATTATGGAACATTTTATATAATAATTATTTTTTTAAATATTTACAACGCTACATTAATTCAACTAATGGTATGTTTAATTTTAATTCTTACAAAATAACGTAATTCAATTCTGTGATATTTTTTACGTATATTTTTTTTTTTTTTTTGAATGTTTTTAGTGTATATATATGACGACTTACAATCATCACGAGGCCGCAAGTAAATATAATATGAGAATAATATAGATCTCCTACTTTTAAAGATCACATTTTATAAATAACAAACTCATTAAAATATTTCAAAAATCATGTGGTAAATAAATTTATTAAATATTAAAATACAATATGATATACATTAATTATTTCTACCAATGCCACGACATTCTCCTTTCTATCACCCCACTACACCACCTTCCTTCCACCTCTCCACCGAAGACAGAAATTTAGTGATTAATGAAACATTTAAGAGAACAATACATAACTCCTAGTTTTAAAGATCACATTTCATAAATAACAAACTCATTAAAATATTTCAAAAATCAGGTGGTAAATAAATTTATTAAATATTAAAATACAATATAATACACATTAATTATTTCTACCAATGCCACCTCACCTTCCCCATCCCATCACCCACTACACCGCCTTACCTTCACCTCTCCCCCGGAGACGGCCACCTTCCCTCCTCCTCTCCGTCGGCGACAGCCATCGGCTCCGATAGTCGCTCCAGCGACTTAAAAATTTTCATAAAATTAAAAATTGAAAATCACATCCCCACCCCATAAATTCACCTACTATGGCCGTCTTCGACGGTCGCTCCAGCGACTTAAAAATTTTCATAAAATAAAAAATTAAAAATCACATCCCCACCCCATAAATTCACCTACTACCACCCCCATTCGCTGACACATGTCATCTGTTACTAATTGTGACCAAATTTGTGTTCAGTGTGACTGTTTGTGACTAAGTCAATCTCATGTTACAATTGATCATAATCAACACAAAATTGGTCATAAATAGTCACAACAAACATATACTTAATCGCATAAGGTCACCACAAATAACCAAGGGCATCGAATGAAACTGCACATTTTGTACCGTCAATGCTTCCTACAACCCAAGTTATACCTTCTCCAAAATCCAGAATGGAATGGATATCAGGCTGCACCCTACTTAACATCAGAGAGGAGCTTACCTACACTCCTAGTATTTTCCATGAATGAGTTACCAACTTATATGAACTTCCCGATTCAACATCAAAACGAGATGGATTAACTGTGACAACTTTGTCTTTGGTGACACTAATTGTGACCAAATTTGTATTGAATGTAACTGTATATGATCAAGATAAATCTCAAGTCACAATCGGTCATAATCAACTCAAAATTGGTCACAAACAACCATGACGACCACTAGCATTCCGCACAACCGCCACCACATGAAGATCCAATGCTCGTAGCTGCAACCAGCATGCCGTACCACTGCATATAACATCAGTCACGATCAATAGAACTAACAACAACAGCAACAACAAAATCACTCCACAGATCAGGAAATCACAAGCACAATTTGCAAAACACCAATTACCACCACAACTGGCTAAACAACATAACTGATGAAACAACCACCCACCACATTTGATTAAATAACCATTTACACCACCACATTAAACAATAGATCTGATCAAAACAACAACCCACCAAATGAATTTCAAGCCAACACTCAACCCTGAAGCAGCGGCGGCTCTCTACAAGCAAAGCTCGTCGTTGGCCGCTGAGCCCAAAAATGTAGGTTTCAAGGTAATTTTCTCATATAATATATTTTTTTGGGCCAGATATCTCTCCTCCTTGTCCATCTTTTCACTACTATCAGAGAAATGGTAGTTCATAACTTTCTTAACTTGTGCTGTTTAATTTAGATAAAAAAAATAGATTTCAATAAATTTTATTAAAAATTAATTAATAAAATATGTAATTGAAAAGTTGTGATTCTATAAAAAATGTTACTAACATTTAATTGTTAATTTTGACTTAGATTTTAACCAATTTTTTAGTTGAACCTTCCTAAATTTTACTCTCAACCATTTTTTTTTAAAAAGAAATCTCGCCGAAGTCCGCCTTGTCGTCTGGTTGCGCTTTACACTTTTCTACGTCTAGAATTTACGTAGATCCACTTAGATTTGTGAAAGCTTGAAGTTTGATTACACTGCCTAGCCACACATTTAATTTTTTTGTATACTGCTCTTGACAAACATTTTTTAACAATAAAGAAACGTTACACGTTTGTGTTGAGATTTCACCCCAAAATTTGACCATGGCCTCTCAATGGGTTGTGGTAAGAAACATTAAGCCATAAAATTGACTTTTTCGGACGTTATTTTTTAAAAAAATTGTATGATTAAAAAATATGAAAATATGATTTTTTTCAAATTAGAAAGTGGTAGCCGTGCCACCAAACTCCACCACAAATGGTGGTGGCTAGACGCCTAGACCCATCAAACGGGGAGGAGCCGCCGTTATTGGCGTCACTCTTGGTTTTGTTAGCTCTCACGTGTTTATAGCAAAAGTTACTCCGTCCCACGATATTTCTGGGGGCTATGAAAGGAAAAGTAAAAAAATTAAAACCGACCTACTCATGCCATCCACCAAACCCAAAGCGATAATTTTACCCTTTCATTTGGCGTTAATTACAGGTCTCACCTTTCCACGAATTGTGATTTGAGCCGAGCCAAGTCAGACTTCTACATACGAGTGAAAATATAAATTAGAAAAATGTTATTCCTCAATCTGTATGGATGTAAATGATTGGTTAAATGATAGGTGAAATTAAACGACTTATTTAATTTCACCTATCATTTAATGCCACATTAACGTCACATAGACTGAGGATGCATTCCCAATGAGAATGAATAGCATTTCTCTATAAATTAATGTAGTGTATCTCGGTTGGAGTATTTCGTTACTCTTCACCGAGTAATGCGATTCATCCCCATTGGAGATGAAAACACAATCCACGTGACGTTAATGTAACATTAAATGATATGTGAGTAATTTAATTTTACCTTTCATTTTACCTATCATTTAGAGCCACCTAAACTGTATTTTCATCCCCACTGAGGATGAATAACATTACTCCTCTTCACCTACGTTGGTTCGATTTTTCCGAGAGCTCATTTTTAATTACACATTCATCTACAAATAATTTTATACATAAATTCAAAATTTTTCTTTGTTTTTTAACCGTACATTCTCTAATAAAACATTATTTTAAAATATATTTTTGTCCAAATATGGGGCTTGAGCAGGGGCTTCGTCTCGTCTTCTTTAGCTGAACAAGGTGTCATCAATCACTTATATCACCTATACCTGCAAAATGAGGTTTGAGTCTTACTCTCCCGTTGTACCTTTGGCGTCAAAGTGTACAGAGAAAAGGGATAAATTAAGACTAGGAACTAGAAATCATGTACGTAGTTTTAGTAAAAAGGCATTATGTTATACCTGACATCCTTTAGGGTATTTATAGGGAAACGGCATGACAGATTTTCACTCATGTGCAAGCGGATATTTCCACATACTAGCCACTGGGCCATTTCGGGGAGTAGAGAGTAAATGTCATTCATTTGTTGAGTGGGTCTGAGTCGCATCAACAATCGTCCCCTCGTGGTCAACCAAATATTGGAAATGTAGTCGATTGACCATGCACCACTGCGATCGATTAACCCCTCATGGACAAGGCAGGTTGACGCCTTTTGTCTTTGGATTAATCTAGTTGTACAACTAGTGAATTGTCAAGATCCGTTGATTTAAAAAACGGGTTTTAAAATGAATGAATGTGATGTCCGATAAATGTGAAGTTGTAAAGAAAATTTTAAAAGTAGCCTGTTGCTTTGTCTGGTCAATAATCCATTTACCTCGTATGATTCATGAATAAACAAAGAGCAAGTCAACATTCAACTCCTGTAAAAATCTACCTATCCGGCATTCCGGCTATCCATTTCAATTTTGGTAAATGCATTTTATTTTTTTTTAAATTTCAATATGGCAGATGGCATAGAGCTGGCATTCACTACTTGTAACTCAAATTTGTCAAATAGGGTTTCAATTCTTATGTTGTTGGTCAACAATGCCCTTGAAAATTAATTAAATACATTAAGCTTATTATTCAAATAATAAATTAAGTTCAAACAATTTGTAATAGTATTATATACTTTCACTTTTTACTATATTTAAAAAAAAAAAAAATCTGAAAAATGTCTATCATATTACCTTAAATATATCATATAACGATCATATTAAATAATTGCCCACTTTTATGTAGAAAGTAAAATATATAAAAATTCCCCCAGCTATTCAAAATTTAAAATAGTATTATACCATATTCTTTAATTAAAAAAATATATGTTCACTAAAATATCCTATAATTTATTTGAGTTACATATAAAATCATATTATAGCATAATATTTTATTTTTATTTTTATATATATATTGTATTATAATATATTAAAGGTGTCATTAATGATAGATTAATTACAATTCAATTTCATGTAGCCCATATTTGGTACGAATTAAAATTCGAATTTTAATCTAAATCAAAGTCAACAGTTAAT